ATTAAGCCACAAGGCCGAATCTGAGCTTCTTTGGTATGAATCATTTCTATTTATTCTATTTCCTATAGCCAATTTTTTTCATGTATTATATGGACCACTTCCTCACTTCAATCTACAAGAGTTGGCAGCAAAGTCAATTAATGGTGTTCAAAGAAGAGATGTTATTGCCTCCTTTTTTGGTAAGTGGGAGTAAATTTTTGATATAATAGAAGTCACTCTTGTCCTATTCTTTATCAGCAATCTTTCACTTTGTGATGTATGTTGGTTTAGATTTCATATTTGTTGTGTGTGCCTCTCTATATTATCCTTTTGCTATTGATTGCTTAATAAAGAGCATTCTTGAATGAGATGTGTCGTAGGTAAGCATATCTATATCTAATGGGTAGATTATTATACTTCAATAAAATGAGAATTACCTTTCTTATTACTAGATTGAGTAACTTGATTGTAAAAATATACAATGCTCTACTTCTTAGAGTTACACAAAACTTTTGATCTTATCTTGCTTTGGTGCTTCAATCTTGTTCCAATATAATTATGAGGCTTTGCAACAAGTCTCTTGAATTTTTCATTAATTCATTGAAGATGGATTTTAATGTCATCCAAGTTACAATTTTCATATTGATTGAATAATTAGAATTAAACCTTGTCATCTAATGTTGCATTATATAGGGCTTCTATGTCAAAAGGTAAGGTTTTCTTTCTAATACTTTTTGCAAGGTTGTTTTATCTAAATATACTATATGGAAGAAGCTATAGCCAAGGTACTATTCCTCTCATATTTTTTATTTTTAAATATCTTAGCTAAGCTTTTAAGGCCTTGCATAATCCATCACGAAGTGATTCACCTATTGATGTATAGATTAGGTTGATTACTATATATTGTCAAGGACATGAAGTTCAAAGAAAGAAATCCTCAATACACTCTTGTGTCACTCAAAAAGACTAAGAAATCACTAAAGAGAATAGTATATTGAATTAGAATGGCTATTGCCAAAGAGAAGAAGACTAAGAAGTCTTGAAACAAGACTAAGGACTAGAAAGGTGTTGACAAGAGTGAAGAAGGCTTCACTTTTGCCTTATATATACTATCTAACTAGAAGCTTTGTAGCAATATTCTATAAGTCCTCAAATACATGTTGACTTTATAAGACATGTATCTTAACTTGCAAGGCAAGTTTTCTACATATGTGCCACATAATTAATTTATTCTGCAAGCTCCTAATATACAATTAATTTGTTGATCAAGTTTCTAACCTATTAATCAATTTTAAATACGATTTAAATCAAAACCATGTCTATAAAGCTTCTAAAAAAGTTTTTTAAAAGATATTATGATTTATTTATTTATTTATTTATTTTAATCTATTTCTATGGATATGGATAATTGATTTTCTATTTATATTTCTATTTATATGGATAATCATTTGATTAACTACGTATATCAATGATACATATTTATCCACATTTGCTATAGACACAATCAATTTTGGCTCTATGTTGTGCATCTTTTGTGCATATTCTTCCATCCATTCTTTAATTGAAGTCCATAGGGGCCATCAAGGCGTGGGCTAATTATGCCTTCAACATCTCTACACATGTCACCATCGTACAAGTTGACTACTTGTCTGTGTAGCATGGCTAATGTGGGGTTAGATCACACACTTACAATGAAATCCTAAAGTATAGCACAATTCCATCCTTATGTGCCTTTTGCTGTTGATACCGCAAAAGGCACATAAAGATTAGATGAAGTTTTTCCACCCTCTCTTCTCACAAGTGATTTTAACTTTGAAATTTTATATCCAAACATCCATACATGCACACATTAAATCTTTTGTTTGTTACAAATAGAATCTCACAATCTTTGGTAAAATTCAGCCATGTGCAAGCAATATTTGCATTAAATAAGGTAACCAGTTTACATGATATTTTAATATTTTAGTTTAATATTTTAATCATAACTATTAATAAATAAAATCACATACTTCTAAGCCCCTCATGAATAATATTAAAAGTGAATAAACATGAAGCAGGTGGTTTATTGAACATTTCATTAAAAATATCAAATAAGTAATGAAAATTAAAAATCCAGGCACTATCATGCCTTGCTTACTTTTATTTCCCTTCAATGTTTTACTTCTTTTTTTAATTGATTTTTTTATTCAAAACCTTCATTTCTATTAAAGATAGAGGAGACATTGTTTACTGAATATTGCAAAATTACATAAAATTCTGTACCCTATTTGTGGCACATGGTTGTTGGATTCTAATCAGATTCCATTAAGTTGCAATCTGATCAATATATTTTTATGATCACTTCTTCATAATATTGAAGATTAATCTTATATTTCTCAAATGTATTCTTAAAACTTTCAAAGTAGCTTCTACAATAGTTTCTCAAGAGTGTTATTGTATACCTTTGCAAAAGATGGCTGAAGTTTCTAATATTGATTAGTTTGATAACAATTAATAAAGTGGAAACTTATAAAAGATCAAACATTTATTAAGTCAAAGTTGGCTTGAGAACTTTACATGTCATTCACAAATGTACCTTGTATATAAACATGAATATTAAATATACAGTTACAAAACTTTATCTTATTGAAATTTAAGCCACATAGCAACAATACAAATAATACTGGAAGAAATATCAGATTATGAATTTGTAAACTCAAAGTCTTAATGCCAATGTATCAAGTATAATTTGTTTCAAAAATTATTTTGCAAAGTAAAAATATTGATCATAGACACTGTTGATTTACTGCAAAAGTAAGTGTACTTTGTGATTTTGATCTTATCATTATTATTATTATTATCATTAAATTTACTGAGGTTTGATAATGTATGTATTATTCAATTGATGAAAACATTTACATTTACGTGAAAATATTGTGCATGTAAAGATTATGGAATTTATACTTGCAAGTGTGAAAATAATTTAGGTTTACAACCTATTTACATGTAAGGTCATTAATGGATTCAAAAGAAAATAAATGGATAATGTGTCTTACAACATTCAAAGAAAAGACACAAACAATTAACACCTACATGTTAAAGACAGACAATGATTTTGTTGCCATTATACTCCAAGTTGATAGTTTATTCTGGTTCCTCGCAGTAACTTTTTCTTCTGAAAAAGATGAAAACTAATTTTGTGTAGATATTTAATTTCATATTCTATGATTGGCCGTATTCCAGGATTCTGCATTAGAAGTCATTACATTATTCTTTTTTATTTGAACAATAAAAAATGAAAAAATTATGTTATTGAAAAGTCAATGCAAAAAATTGAAAACTTTTTGCCGTTATTCAGAAAATTCTAGATCACCCAAATTCTTAAAAACCTAAAAAGGAAAAGAAATAATATGATTGGTGTTTTGTTTTGTTTTGTTTGTTTGTTTGTTTGTTTGTTTTTTTTCATAGTGCAATAAGTAAGGTGGTCCGAATAATGATATAAATTTGAATTTAGGCGGTACATGCATTCAAAGCTGTTAGATAGCACATGACAAATTTCCACGGCTTTATTGAATAGCCATTCAGGAGTAGTATTTTATTCACTATTTAAAAACATTTACTGTTGTACTCCATCTATTTATAAATATTAACATTGAATATATGATTGATTTTATTGAGCCAAGAGGATTGCACAAAATAATTTATAGAACGATGTCATGTATTTTCAATGGAAGAATCTAATGACAAATTTTATTTGAAGCACTCAGTTGTTACTAATGCTTTACATTATAATGATACATTAACATGGATTTTTGTATCAGTAAAATTCTATCCTGTAACCATGTGGTATTCATATTTTTAGCTGTGCAGTGTGTAATCATGTAATGCTGCATGAATTCTTGCACATACATTTTTATGCATTTAAAAACTCCAACACTGTAGAAAAGAGAAAAAATAGAAAAAAATAAATAGATATATAAAAAAAGAAGTAAAGTTTGAAATTTCTAGGGAGGACAGAAGGAAGTTTCCATGTCACACAACTTTCAAAATTCAGTAAAGACAAAATTTGTGTTCGAGCCACACTTGAGATAGAGATGGATGTTGTTTTGGATAAAACCCAATAAACTTCAAAACAGATTTGAAGTAGCAATGCTTTACAACAACAACAAACACATGACCTATGAGCAATGGCTACAAACCCTAATATTGAAAACAAGCCAAAGACCACTACTCACCCTCCACCATCAAAAAGACCATTCCCCCTCCAAAAAGCCCCACCAAGGCATGTGAAAAGGGGATGAAATGGCCCTCCCTCGGCACAATCAAATCACCACCAAAGCTGCACCCACAATCTGAAGATTTAGGGCGAACAACCTTTTTGCACAAAAGGGTTGCAACCCTAAAAGTGGCAATTTTATCAGAGATGGAAAGGAAGTTTAGTTCAGCCAAAAGGGATGGATGAAAACAGCAGCAGAGCCTCATCCATCACCATCATCCAACAGGAGGTTGAGATGGATGGATGAACCTAACTAACCAAGCTCCCACCCCGTCCTCACCCGAATAGCCCCATAAGCTCAGATATTTGTTTTCCCCCGTAATTGTGGGAGAGGGGGCAGCAGGATACGGTTACAGATTTCTCCCCCAACAGTAACTAATCCACAGCTCCAAAACCCAATGAAACGAATCCCCACTTGGTTCTCAAAATTTTCCCCATGATCTATTTCACGACGCCGATAGGTAGGTAGGTAGGTAGTGTCAAAGGGATTTGAACCCGTTATCTCTCCCATGGAGCCGGCTCATGACAAGACACGAGAAAGAAGTACCGGTAACCGTGGGGAACGAAGTGGTTCTTTATCGGGGTGGGATCGTGGGAACGTCAAAGTCCTCCCCGTCCACGAAGGCGGACCGGGGAATAGGGTCGAGTCGACACGCAAGCAAGTAAGCCTGCCAAGTCCGCCTATGGTAACGCGCTTGGAATCAGCAGACCCCCTTTCCCCGCCTTTCCCCGCCCTCGCCATTGGCGGAGCAGACAAACCAAGGAAAGCAACCTGGGGCTGCAATCGCTGCGTTTTGAAAGGGGGCGGGGGAGGTAGAATCCAACAAGGAAACGGAGGAAGGGGGGACTTGAAGGAGAAGAAAGGATCGTGACAAGAGCAGTTTCAGAGAAGCTTTTGCCATCCGGCTCTACACGACATCGAGCTTTATTTTATTTGTTTGGGTAATCTTTCTCTCTCGCTCTGACTCTCTGCTCCGCTATTAATCTCCTCTTACACTCGCATAATCATTCTTGTACTCCCTCTCCGTCCCCTTTGGATGTACAGCCGTGCGCTGTTGCCTGCGGTATTCAACCTTGTGATCGAACTTCTCTCTTCTCGTTGTCGTGTATTGCTCCCTAATCCCTGCGATCAGATTCTTGCTGGTATTTCGGGGGGCGAGTTCGGAGATCTGAGTTGAGTATAAAAATTTCGGAGTGGTTTTCTTAGTTTTATTTCGTCTGTTGGAAGGGGTTTGGGTAGAGTTTTGCCTTGCTGCCTTTGGAACTTGTGGCGGGTTGCGCAAGGTGTTATCGTTGGATATATTGTGGAACCTGATATTAGAAACAGTGAAGAGGCGTAATTACGTGTTGTGTGACAAGGGATTTGAGCTGAGTAGGGACTTCGTTTGACGAGGAAAGAGATACCGGTAAACACGGATACATGCATTGTCAGGGTTGAAGGGAGTTGGAATTGTGAGTTTTGTGAAGGAAAATCCGTGGTGGAAGCTTTTGTGTTGACAAGCCGCGTTTTAGAGCTGTATTGAGGAGGTTTGGTTTGTGCTGTGGATGGTGTAGTAATTTCGTGGTGAAAAAAGATGGTGGTGTTCACTATTTCTCACAGCGTTGCTTGGAAGAGTAGTTTCGGAGGCTGTAGTGTGCTGAAAAATGCCTCAGAGCCTGAAGTCTCCTCTAGTACCAGGGATGATCATGTGCGTCAGCCCGTGACAAAACTATCACCACTCGTGTGGGGTTTGGGAAGACAGCAGTTCGATGGATATGCTGCGCAGTCATCAGCCGGGTCTCTCTCTTCTGCTTCGGCTTCATCATTTCCCGAGGAATGGTGGAGAAAAAACTCAAATAACGTCGCTGACTCTATGGGTGGACTCCGAGCCACTCATCATACTCAAACAGTCAGTATGTTTCCAGAGCGTAGATCCATTCTGGACTGGGATAACACGTCGGATAAGTGGAAAGAACACGCATTCCATGAGACGGCAACGAGCAGAGGTGTCCATGGCCGTGTGCCCGTGTTCGTGATGTTACCGTTGGACAGCGTGAATATGAATAATACTCTGAACAGGCGTCGAGCGTTGAATGCCTCCTTGATGGCTTTGAAATCTGCTGGCATTGAAGGGATTATGATGGATGTCTGGTGGGGGATTGTTGAGAAAGATGCGCCCCTGAATTACAATTGGTCTGCATATCGTGAGTTAATCGAGATGGCGCGAAAGCACGGGTTGAAGGTGCAGGCTGTTATGTCCTTTCATCAATGTGGCGGTAATGTTGGGGATAGTTGCAAGTAAGTGTAGTAATATTGCTTCTCCTAATTTCTGTGAGTGTGCGTTTACTTGGTAATCAATTGCAACATCCCGATGTTCTTAGTTTGCATCTCGTGAACACGATTCCAGGATATCATTTACACTTGTTCGTTATTGGTCCTTAATCACTTACCTGCTTAGAAACTTCTAACTGATGTACTTTTTATTTTCGCAGCATTCCCCTACCTCCATGGGTTCTTGAAGAGATACAGAAGAATCCTGACCTGGCCTACACCGACAAGTCAGGAAGACGTAATGCTGAGTACATTTGTCTTGGTGCCGACAACGTGCCAGCCCTGAAGGGAAGGACACCTGTACAGTGCTACGCTGACTTTATGAGGAGTTTCAGAGACAACTTCGAAGATCTCCTTGGAGATGTTATCATTGTACGTCCCGTATTCCTTAGTACCCCGTAGTTTTGTGAAGTTGAGAGTATGCTATCGGGTGTACGGTCACAGTTCCACTTCTTTATCATTATCTCATACATTTGTTTCTCCCGACGGACTTCACGAATGTCCTTTTTCTCGTAGGTTCCTGTCCTCCCTCTGTCCTGTACTTGTTCTGTTCTTCATCACTGACTCTCTACTTGACACATTCTAGGAAATACAATGTGGAATGGGACCAGCTGGCGAACTTCGCTACCCTTCATATCCGGAAAGTGAAGGAAGGTGGCGATTCCCAGGTATAGGCGAGTTCCAATGTTATGATAAGTACATGCTTGCGGGTTTGAAAGCGAGTGCGGAGGCTGTGGGCATGCCTGCTTGGGGCACTAGTGGTCCTCACGATGCTGGAAACTACAACCAATGGCCCGATGATACTGGTTTCTTCCGCAAGGATGGTACATGGTCTACAGACTACGGACAGTTCTTCATGGAGTGGTATTCTGAAATGCTTCTTGCTCATGGTGAACGCATCCTATCAGTGGCTACTGGCATCTTCAGGGATACTGAAGCTGTTATTTCAGGCAAAGTTGCTGGTATTCATTGGCACTACGGCACAAGAAGTCATGCCGCCGAGCTAACAGCAGGGTATTATAACACTCGGACAAGGGACGGATATGCTCCCATTGCCCAGCTATTCGCGAAGTATGGCGTTACACTGAACTTCACATGTTTTGAAATGCGAGACCTTGAGCAGCCTTCCCATGCTTTATGCAGTCCGGAGGGTTTAGTGAAACAAGTAGCTTTTGCTACTAGGACAGCTGGAACCCCAATGGCCGGAGAGAACGCTCTTCCTAGATTTGACAGTTCAGCACACGAACAGATAATCACCTCGTCGAGGTTGCGTATGCCTGTAGAAGGAGACTGTCATCAAGATTATGAACCTATGGCTGCCTTCACCTTTCTGAGAATGTCTGAAAGCATGTTTCACAGCGAAAACTGGAGACTGTTTGTTCCATTCGTTCGTCACATGGAGGAGGGTCGTACGTTTCAACCATGGGAAGAAGAGCACCAAAGAACAGAAACTCATGTAAAAGCCACTGGACCCTTGGTTCAAGAAGCAGCCTCGTTGATGTTACATTAGTGTGTATACTTTTCATGAGGATAGGATGACGGCTATTTACTTTCTTTTTTCTCTTCTTTCTTCCTGTTACATATACCTATACATAATTGTAGTTAGTAAGATTAATATTCAATTAGACAAAATTCCTCCCTTCGAGATGAGGACTCTTTATTCTACTCAATAAGGAGAGTAGACTTGAACGCAAAATTATTCTTTCGATCTGTGAACAGACTTACTGCCTTAGCAATTTTGTACACAGGCACAAGATGCATTGTCTGGGGTACGGTTGTATTATAGATTTAAAATTTTAGCGGTTATTCGAATAAGTTTCCAGCTCACAAATTTTAGACGAGTGACGTCGTCATTGAAATACAATTCAAAATAAAAATAAAAATGACTAGATTGTTTGTCTCGAATTGGGATCAATGTACCAGGTGCCCTGATTTTTACAACTTAAAATGTGCCAGATAACTCTCCACATGCTTCTTTGTGAGTTGGTATTTTGAAAGATAATAACTTCAGCCATTGCTTTGAGGGACAGTTTGGTCATGTAAACATGTCAGGCTGGTTCAAGTAACATTAGGTGTCTGACATGAAAGTTAAAAACATTTGCTCCACTTCAAAAGCTTCAACTGTTGAGCTTCACAATCAACTATCAGCATTCTTAGCACATTTGGGGTGGGTTATCAAAAGTTTTATGGAATACCCTTTCATGCGTTATTTCCGTTGAACCAGTGTCGTGTAAAACTAAAGCTAAAAGATGTGTTTTGTTGATGCAGAACCTAATTTAATTAATTTTTTATAAGAAAAAAAAATATTTGTGTTTAATTATGGTCAAAATCATGTGCTACAACAAAACGTTTTCATTCTTCCTTCAACATGAGAGATTTATTTAGATTACAAAATTTCAACTTCTCTTAGTCAATTCTCTTCTTTATGGTAATTGATGTTCATATTAAGGAACTTTATGAGATGTTTAAAACAACCACACAACACCAACTTAAACAAGTTATATGCTTGTAAAATTAGTACTCAAGTAATTTTCTTTTCATTTATCATTATTATTATCATTTTTATTTTTTGGATTTCAATTTAAAGATGAATAAACTTCACTCTTCATGGCCACTTTAAATGATTTTGTTGAATGTAAATTAAATTGTCATATGAAAGTTCAAATTAGCAAGTTCCACAAAGTTCATTCAATTTTGTTAATATGAATACACAAAATTCTTCAAGTATTGTTTTAAAACTTCATTTGTAATTTATGTTATTTCTACCATGTATTAATAAAAACCTTAGAGTTTTATCAATCATTTTGGTTCCTCAATTTAGTACCATACATGAAAATTTATTAAATGAGTTATTTGTTATTAAGATTGCATTACATTCTTGGAATTTGAGAATATTCATGATAAAACTAACAAAAATACTTAATGATGTTGATAGAATCAAAACAATTTGACAACAATCCCAATTGTTTTAAAAAGAAGTTTTATTAAATTAATATTTTACTCAATTCTTTCTAATATATTGTATCTTTCATACTTAACTAATATAAGTCACTTCTCTCTAAGGTGTTATAACATAATGTATTGTATGTATTTTCTTTTAGTAATACTATAACACCAATGGGACTAAAATATAATTGTAAATATAACTTATATTCTATACCACCAAAATCCTTAAAATATTACTTATCCAACTATAGATATTTTACTTGTCTCAATTGAAATTTTAGAAAAAAAAAAAATATTATAGAAGTCACTTCATAATAATATCATAATCATGACCACATATACACTTCTATTTCATAGCAAATTAGACCTTTAAATGAGAACTTTAATTTTAGAATTTTTTAGAAAGCTCTACATGGTCTCTAAAAATCTCAACTTATAGTAAGATTATCAAATAGATATACTAAAACATAAAAAGTCTCAACAATGAGGTTCAAATGATTTTAATCTTGTTAGATATTTTTATAAATTATTTTAAAGATCTTGCTTGGATGGATTTTATACAATAATGTAGAATTGTTTTGATGAAGAATTTGTTGTATTTTGCACTTGGCTTTGTATGGTCATAATTTTTTTTCTAAGGTATGTCTTTTAAAAAGCTTTAAGTATTTTATAGATACCTTATGGACAATTGAAAAGTGTCTCTAGAAGCAATCTTATTTTCTTATGTAAGTCTTAAGTTAAAGAAAATAGAAAAAGATGTGATACATAAAACAACTTAGAGGTAATATTCTTCTTTAGATAAGGCTAAAGCGGATTTTTGTTTATTTATTTATTTTTTATATCATGCTTTGCAATTAAGTAATGTCATTTGGTAGTTTTTTATACTCTCTTTCTATATATCATCGTAGGTAGAGAATTTAATTTCTAATAAAAAGAATATCAAGTGCGTTGTAAGTATATATTGGAGCTAAGAAATTTATTACATTTTAGACGAACAAAGTACAAGCTACCAAGCACAATGTTAATTTTTTATATATAATTAATTTTATAAATATAATTAGCATATTATTATTTTAAAACACTAGTTATTATAAAGAATTTAATAAGTTTTTTTTGTTTTTTTTTGTCTTGTTTAATTTACATAAACTCACAATATATGTAAGTTAAAAAATCTATTCTACTTTAAAAAATGAAAAACTTAAAATCTTGTAATTTAACAGATTTAGTGGAGAAAATTGAAAAAATAGATATATTAAAAGTAAATCTTTATATAAGAATAGCAGTCCAAATTAAAGTTGTCATAATCTTTAAAAGACTTATGTCACGGACACAAAATACAGACTTGAAATCTAACAAGAAGTTCAAGAAGAAGTGGCAGAACTAGATTAAACAGATGAGTACAAGAACAACACCAGAAAGGTGAGCTAGAACTCCAAGAGATGTGTTGTCGAGACTGAAGAACTCTTCAGCCTCGATCCCTATATATACTCATACTTAGGAAGCTTCTCGAGCTACTTCTATTAACTAGGAAGCTTTTAGAGGGTTCCAGAGGCTTCCTTTCTAGAAGGTTCTAGAAACTTCTCGAGCTACTTCTATTAATTAGGAAGCTTCTAGAAAGTTCCAGGGGATTCCTTTCTAGAAGCTTCTAGAAACTTCTCTTCTAGAAGGTTCCAGAGACTTCTTTTCTAGAAGCTTCTAGAAACTTCTCTCTAAAAGGTTCTAGAGGCTTCTCTTCTAGAAGGTTCCAGAGGCTTGATTTCTAGAAGGTTCTAGAAACTTCTCTCTAGAAAGTTCTAAGGAATATGTCCCTAACATCACCCCCTCCTTTAGCTTCGAGGTCTCTGAGAAGCAATGTTGTTGATCAGTACCAACGCAAGAAAATGAAGATCTGTCGCATAACTTCTGCTATGAACTCCAACTGTTGTTCACGAGGCAAGTGGTTCATCGACCCTTGAAGCCAACGGTAGTGGCCCACGCCTTTGACTTCTGACCAAGCATGAACTTCCGTGTCCTCATTGTGAAATTGTCTTGCAAACACGCCTTCTGGTTGACCATCGTAAGCAGGCTCGATCTCAAATATGATCACCAGTGATCGGTTACTCGGTATCCTCCGTCGTCGTCGTGGTACATGTAGTTTTTCATCTCGGGGTCGCCTTCGTGAGCTACTCGGTTGCGATACTCTGACTGGCATAGTATCTATCTCTTGGCTATCCATATCAAAAGACCAAACTACGATCTATCTTGGAGAAAATAACTACATCAACTATGAATTTTATTGGTGCTCTCCCCTTTTCTTATATTGTTGGGAGAATAAGCTTCAGAAAGAAGCTATCATCGAAGTGATTTAGGTTTATCGGGATGTCGTTGATGAAACTCTTGTACCTTTTATAGCGCATTCGCAAGATTTTTAGCTGGGTCCCACGTTCGCTCATTAATGTCATAGCCGCACCAATGAACAAGATATTCTAACTTTTTTGACCTTCGCCGTGAATCCAATACCTTTTCAACCTCGTATTCTTCATGGTTCTCGATTTCAATACTAGGTGGTGGACATTGCACTCTTCCAGGAAAAGATGACTCTCGATAAGGTTCCAACAGAGAAATATGAAAGACTAGATGTACCTTCATAGAAGCCGGTAACTCCAGCTGGTATGCCACTGGATTAATTTGCTTCTGGATGATAAATGGTCCCAATCTTCGATAGTCCAACTTATCACATGGTCGCTTGGTCTTGATATTTCGTCGAAGAAGCTAGACTTTGTCTCTAACTTTGAAAGTAGGGGCTGGATTCCGAAATCTATCTGCAAACGTCTTATAGGATTCTTGAGCGGATTGTAATTGAAGCTTCAACATAGTTTGAAGCTCTGATAGTTGCTTCGCAAATCCTTCAGCTGCTGGATTGTTATTTGTTGACGGACTCAATAAATCAAGCTTCGAATGATACCCATAGTTGGAAAAGAATGGTGTTTGTTGAATTGACGCATGGAGGGTGTTGTTATATGCAAACTTGGCTAGTGGTAGATATGCAGTCCAATCGTCTTGTTGATAGTTGATGCTGCATTGTAAGTACTGCTCCAAGACTTGATTCACCCGTTCCGTTTGGCCATCAGTTTGAGGATGAAAAGCTGAAGAAAGCTTGATATCCACCTTCAATATCCCAAAGAGAGATCTCCAAAACTTTGACACGAACTGGGTACCTCGATCTGATATGATATCATCTGGTAGTCCATGATATCGATACACATTATCAAGAAAGAGTCTTGTTGTGACTTCACTGGACGATGTCTTCTTACAAGGAACAAAGTGTGCCATCTTTGTAAGCCGATCTACCACGACAAAGATGCTGTCAAATGAGTTTGATGATGGCAAGTCCGTGATGAAGTCCATAGAAATTGAAGACCATGGTCGACGCGGAATTGGCAATGGCTATAGAAGTCCATAAGGGCGATGCCGAGGATTCTTAGATCTTGAACAGATGTCACAAGAGAGGACAAAATCTTTCACATCCTTCCACATTTGGGACCACCAAAAATCTCGGGAAATAAGCTCCAAGGTCTTGTTGAATCCAAAATGTCCCGCAGCTGGAAAATCATGGCGAGATTGAAGAACTCGGAGTCGTGCTAGTCCTTTTGGAATGTACAATCGCTCTTCAAAGTATAAAAGATCTCCCTCCAACTTGAACTTATCGTCATTGGTACGTTGCTTGATATCAATGGCTACTGAATCTTTAATGGTCATAGCACGTACCTGGTTTAGGAAGTCAACATCAAATGATACAATAGTAGCACAAAGTTGAAATCTCTCTGGCTTCAATAACGTTGTACATTGTTGATCAAACGCTGCTTCTCCAGCCTTTGGTGCAAGATACGATCTCCTTGATAAAGCATCGGATAGTCTTTGCTGCCTTCCAGGTCGATAAGTGATAACAAAATCGAATCTAGATTGCAACATATTCCACC